ACTCCCCAGTCAGGAGTCACTGCCCTATGACCTTACTTACTTACTTAGGCGATCCCTCGTTGTCCGAGTAGGATTGTCTTCCAAGATCGGTGTACTGGCGGTCGGTCCGTAGGTGACTGTGGAGCCCTATTCTTGCTCTGCATGTTCTCCCACAGTGAGGGCATTGGTTTCCAGGTGGAAGGCGGTCCCGGTCAGGGTTGGCTTGATGTGCCTTCCTCTTGGCACATTTCTCTCTTTCATCCTCCATTTGTGCCTCCTCAAATCCTACAGTACTGCTGGTCACAGCTGACCTCCAGCTGGAGCACCAAGGGCCAGGGCTTCCCAGTTCTCAGTGTCTATGCCAGAGTTTTTAAGGTTGGCTTTGAGCCCATCTTTAAACCTCTTTTCCTGCCCATCAACATTCCTTTTTCCGTTCTTGAGTTCGGAGTAGAGCAACAGCTTTGGGAGATGGTGGTCGGGCATCCAGACAATGTGGCCAGTCCAGCAGAGTTGATGGCGGAGGACCATCACTTCAATGCTGGTGGTCTTTGTTTCTTCCAGAACACTGACATTTGTCCACTTGTCTTCCCAAGAGATTTGCAGGATTTTTCGGAGGCAATGCTGGTGGAATCGTTCTAGGAGTTGCATGTGATGTCTGTAGACAGTCCATATCTCGCAGGCGTGTAGCAGAGTTGGGAGGACAATTGCTTTATAAAGCAGCACCTTGGTATCTCAACACTTGTCCCGGTCCTCAAACACTCTCTGCTTCATTTGGAAAAATGCTGCACTCATAGAGCTCAGGCGATGTTGTATTTCAGTGTCAATGTTGACTTTTGTGGAGAGGTGACTGCCAAGGTAGTGGAAGTGGTCAACATTTTCTAACGTTACACCATTAAGCTGTATCTCTGGCATTGGAAAGGGATTGGCTGGTGACTGCTGGAAGAGCACTTCGGTTTCCTCGATGTTCAATGACAGGTCGAGCTTCTCATAAGCTTCTGCAAAGGTATTTAGAGTGGCTTGTGGTCTTCTTCTGAGTGTGCACAAATGACATTATCATCAGCATATTGGAGTTCTATAACAGAGGTTGTTGTAACCTTGGTTTTGTCTTTCAGTCTGTGGAGGTTAAGTAGCTTGCCATCTGTCTGATAGATGATTTCCACTCCGGTGGGAAGCTTCCCATCAACAAGATGAAGTATCATAGCATGACCAGGGCCCTGTCCTTCCTGCTGGGTATCTCTCATCTGGGGGTATAAATCCTCAACTGTTTCACTCTCTTGTGTAAAAAAGAATAATTAAAGTCAATTTCTCCCTGTTGCAGCAGAAAATAAACATAGAATTCTTTCCTCAACCCCATCACCCACACAGTAGGAATTATTCTGTGGAGGAAAAAAATGCTTTCAGGGCAAGAAACTTTTTTCTCTATAGAAAACAGGGTGATGAAAAGAAGGCCCCTGTGTGTTCCCTCACAGGATATTTCTTCACAACAGTTTTGGGCGTCAAATCCCAGGAGAAATTACACAAAATGCTCACTGGTTATTTTATCCTGTGGAAGTTCTCAGTTGTTGGGAAATCTATTTTTCAACCTAGGAATGAATAAGTGTGAATCATTCCATTCCTACTCTCAACTCAACCCATCCACCAACCTCCTTTGCTTTTCCCTTCTGGTATGGACTTTATTGTTATACTAGCCGTCCCCTGCCACGCGTTGCTGTGGGGGTTCTGTGTGGGAGGTTTGGCCCAATTCTATCATTGGTGGGGTTCAGAATGCTCTGTGATTGTAGGTGAACTATAAATCCCAGCAACTACAACTCCCAAATGTCAAGATTCCATTTTCCCCAAACTCCACCCGTGTTCACATTTGGGCATATTGGGTATTCGTGTAGAGTTTAGTCCAGATCCATCATTGTTTGATTCCACAGTGATCTCTGGATGTAGGTGAACTACAACTCCCAAACTCAACATCAATGCCCACCAAACCCTTCTAGTGTTTTCTGTTGGTCATGGGAGTTCTGTGTGCCAAGTTTGGTTCAATTCCAGCATTGGTGGAATGCTCTTTGATTGTAGGTGAACTATAAATCCCAGCAACTACAACTCCCAAATGACAAAATTATTATTTTCTTAGTGAAGGACATACATTGGGTTGTTATGTGTCTTGTGTCCAAATTCGGTGTCAATTCGTCCAGTGGTTTTTGAGTTCTGTGAATACCACAAACGAACATTACATTTTTATTTATATAGATAATGGTGACTGATGCAGGACGGTATCCCATCTCTCATCATCACAGTGTTGGAAGGTATACAATAGGAAAAGGTGAAAAAATGTCATAGGCCATAGGAAAAAGTAAAAAGTGGAGAAAGCAATTGCATAAATTTCTATGTGCTAGTGATATATATCATGCTTTCCACTCTTCAGGATAGAAGTGACAGCCTGTAAGATATGATTGCTATGTTAGAAAGCCTATTTTAAATGACCTTTAAAATATAAGAATTTAAAAATCCAAACAAAGAAAGCTGCTGGGACAACAGATCATTTTTTTGATATTAAAGTTTGTCTTAGGGGATATATTCATGGTGGAGAGTATGTTATTTATCTTTCTTCTTAGCTTCAAAGAAAAAAATAATAATCTTGAGGACATTTGAAAATAGTATCACAGTTATAGAAATATTGTACAATCATAACTCAGATCCATAAGGGGCTTTGAAATGTACGTGTATTTCACTGTTGTCACATGGCTTGGAACATAAAAACAATATAGCTTTATTTGGTTTTGGCAAAGTTGATACAGTAATTTTGAGGAAATGTTATGTTTTTTTCAAAATAATAATTTTAGATTAGCTATTTGTTTGCTTTCTCATGAGGAGATAAAAAGTCAAGCTATCTTTTTTGTTGGCATTTCCACTAACTTTTCCAGTCTAAATAATATCATTTTTCCTTTCCTGTAATCACACTTGTCCTGCATTCATCCTCAGGTTGTCAAATAATGAAAGGCTCCAAATATTGTATGTCATTTTATTTGGAGTCTTGCAAGGACAAAATATGAGCATCCCAACTTTAAATCCGGTTTACCTCTAATGAAAGTTGCTGGAATTCAATGGAGATTTCCAGCTTTCTCTGTATATTATATTATATTTTATTGATTTATGGAGAATATGTTTTCTATTTTGGATTTGAACATGTGAGCAGATGCAACTAAACCTATTGGCTAGGAATAATTTAAATTCAATTTGCTATGATCCACTAAAAAGTTTTGTGGAAGATCCATTGAGCCTTTGGAATGAATGGCAAAGGCTATAATATTTGGTTGTTGTATGTTTTTTCGGGCTGTATGGCCATGTTCTAGAGGCATTCTTTCCTGACGTTTCGCCTGCATCTATGGCAAGCATCCTCAAAGGTAGTGAGGTCTGTTGGAACTAGGAAAGTGGGTTTATATATTTGTAGAATGACCAGGGTGAGACAAAGGACTCTTGTCTGCTGGAGCTAGGTGTGAATGTTTCAACTGACCACCTTTATTAGCATTTGATTGCCTGGCAGTAAGCCATCATATTAATCAAAATAAATCAAAATGGACCATCTTTCTTTATGATCATAAATGACAGTGGTCCAAATTTCTGCCACTTGATGGAGAAGCAGTGCCATCACATTCCCATGGCATCTCCAAGACTAAGATGGAAAATGGGTATGCTCTGTGAAGAGAACTGTTCATGCCAATGTGCCTGGTTTTGACCGGTCCTGCCTCAGAGAGGGAATTTTTCGTGAGTGTCAGAGAAGATAATCCATATTACTAGCACCAAGGATGGTTGTGATGGTTAAGGCCGAACAGGGCATAGGGTTACAGCCTGTGTTGGACGGGGTTACACTCCCGCTGAAGACGCAGGTTCGCAGCTTGGGTGTGATCTTGGACTCGTCGCTGAGCCTGGAACCCCAGGTTTCAGCGGTGACCAGGGGAGCATTCGCACAGTTAAAACTTGTGTGCCAGCTGCGCCCGTACCTTGGCCACGGTAGTCCACGCTCTGGTTACATCCCGTATAGACTACTGCAACGCTCTCTACGTGGGGTTGCCTTTGAAGACTGCTCGGAAGCTTCAAATGGTCCAGCGTTCGGCAGCCAGGTTGCTAACAGGAGTGGCACTCAGGGAGCATACTACTCCTCTGTTGCGCCAGCTCCACTGGCTGCCAGTTTGCTACCGGGCACAATTCAAAGTGCTGGCGTTAGCCTATAAAGCCCTAAATGGTTCTGGCCCTACTTACCTCTCCGAACGCATCTCCTCCTATGAACCGGCTAGGACACTAAGATCATCTGGGGAGGCCCTGCTTTCTGTCCCGCCTGCATCACAGGCGCGCTTGGCGGGGACGAGGGCCTTCTCAGTGGTGGCCCCTCGGCTGTGGAACACCCTGCCTGCAGATATCAGATCGGCCCCCTCCCTGCTGGCGTTTCGGAGGAAAGTGAAGACCTGGCTGTTCGAACAAGCATTTGATTAAACAGTGTAATTGAACATAGGAATACGGAATAATGGATGATGAGACTGGATTCTGATTTTACTGTTGAGGCGCTAATGATTGTTATACTGATGTTTAATGATTTATGTTACAATTGTTTTTAATTGCCCTATACTTGTCTCATGATGTTTTGTATCGATGTTGTTCACTGCTTTGAGTCGCCTGAGGGCTGAGAAAAGCGGTATATAAATAAAGTAAATAAATAATAAATAATTGTGTGTAGGCAGTAATAATTGAAGGGTGGCTTCAGTACTTCCCCATTTTTTAAATTCTGTCTCATCAAATAGCAGCAGCTTGTGTGTTTTTTCCTACTTCCAACAGACCTCACTACCTCTGAGGATGCTTGCCATAGATGCAGGGGAAACGTCAGGAGAAAATGCCTCTAGAACATGGCCATAAAACCTTTGACAGTACAGCTTGTGTGTTGCTCATAAATATATGAACTGACTTGTATTCCCAGCACACATGAATGATAGTGGGTGTGCGCATTGTACTAAAACACAACTTTTATTCTGTTGCTGCAGGCGTCACCATTTGGGAGCTCATGACTTTTGGTGGAAAGCCCTATGATGGAATCCCAACAAGAGAAATCCCCGACTTGCTTGAGAAAGGGGAGCGCTTGCCACAGCCTCCCATCTGCACCATTGATGTTTACATGGTGATGGTGAAATGTGAGTAGTCCTTGTTCACTTGTAACTTTGTGGATAACTAGCGCTGAAGTGATATTCCTTTGCCACTTGCATTCACTCTCAGGAGTTCTTTGTAATTCTGTGTGCCATTTTGAACCTTCATATTCAAATAGCTGCCAGATTCTGTCTGAATATTATGCATGAGCATCTAGCAATTGTGAAGGAGATGAGTCTGACTGTGAAAATTTGTGTTAGCTTGGGTTCTTATTGCCAGCAGATAGTATCAGACATTGTTGCTGTGAAGACAGAATTGTAGCACACAAACTGCTGTCGTTTGCATGACAATCGATTTGCTAGATGGTAGCATTTCACATAATTATGGTACCCAGGTAGTCACATAGTAAAGGTTGTAAAAGGGTGAAAGTTCGCTCCAGATGACATAATGAAGAAGAAAGGAAATCCAATAAGTTTTATTAAAAAGGAACTGGATTAACAGGATGAAACAAGCCGAGCCTTTGGAAGCAGACATTTATATGCAAAATCTGTAGTTTATTATGGACATTGTTATGTTAGCTGCATATTGAATTCATGGCATAATGGAGGGGGGGGGGGGGGGGGGTAAAGCAAACAAAAAAAACAGAGGATTTTTTTTATTTTTGCTATTTGCATCTGGTTTTTTCACCCAACTTATCCTTCCCACCCCATGTGCACGTGCTAGAAAATGTGACCCTGAAGCTCACACTTCTAATTTTGAAAGAATTAAGGAGGTCTCCATGGTGTTTCTGACTTAATTTAAATGAGATTAACAAGCAACCATTTCCTCCATATGGGGTTTGCTGCTCATGTGTACAGATGAAAACATTTCAACTACGAATATCATGAAGCTAATCCATCTAACCGCTCAAGTTGATAGACTGCAGCAGCATGCAGGAGGTTTAATGCAAAGTGCCAACTCAATTCAGTGTCACAGTGAGATGATACAATACCAGCACATGCTGTTGCTCAGCCTCAACGTGTACAGGTTGAACAGGAGAAGCATTCTTTCCATTTGATAACCATATCATATATGGTTTTACTGTGTGTATGGGCAAGTGTGTATGTTTTTGTATGTTTTGCATGTTTTGATATGGTCAAAATTGACTAATCAATAAAGAATTGTTGTTGTTGTTGATATCACACAACAGTTTAAGCAAGTTTCTCTGTTCAGATTTCTACAGGAAATTATAAATTAAGAACAAGGTATTAGTGAATGGAGCAAAACATATGTTATCAGAAGTGTGGTTTCTTCATTCAGTTGGAAGATACAGCCCTTGCTTCTCATGGAAAGTTATCCATCTCTTTCTTGGCTGCAATGTTTCACACTGTACATATGAGCTGATTCTTCAGTCCAGCGTCATCTGCCCATAAAAACTTTTCCTTTACATGCTTATATTCCGGAGTGAGAAATTATTTCCTGCAAAGAATCGCTGAATCAGCTGCATTTTGAAATGGTATGGCTTCAGCAAAGCTCATCCACCACAGGGCGAAGCCAAACTCTTACATTTTGCTCTGAATGTCAAGGGTTTATGTGCAGGTACAGCTGTACCAGGAGCTCTAATTTTGTTTGCTTTGCATTGAATGTTTGTTGTAGTCCTAAGTTTCAGGGACTCTGCAGATAGGTGGCTTCTTTTGGTTGCAATCATAGGGCAAGCCACCTGTCAATTATCGTTAGGTTCTCTAGTCCCGCCCCCCTTTGGGCTTTGGAAGGGAAGTGAGCCATTTTGTTAGTTAGTGTCAGCTAGGTTAGCCAATTTATAGGATGTGTTTACTTCCCCTGTACAAAGGCTTCAACCTTTAAGAATTCCAGGGTCACGGAAACTCTAACAGAATCTCCAGGGGAAAACAGCTTTAAGAGTCTCCTAAGAACTCCAGCTTTCCACAGCCTTGAGAGTTTCCAGAAAGACAGCCTTAAGGTCTAAAGAACTCCAGCTGGAGAACATCCATTGCCTTGCTGGTAGATCCTCTCAGTGCTCGAGAAGCAGTTCGGCCTGGCAGCGAAACCCACACCAGTGAGGGTTGGATTTTAGCCAGCCTTGGGAGAAGTTAAAAAAGGGGAATTCTCCTTTGGATAAAGTTATTGAAGATAGTGCCTGTCCCCTGTGGGCAAGATTGAGAGAACTAAATTTTTACAAAGAAAGCCTAAAAGTCCCTGTTTGATTCATTAATAAAAGACTTTGTTGCATTTTTCAAGCCATATCAAGACTCTTTTGTAGTGGAAACCTCTGAGAACTTCTTCTTAGGCCCCTGGCTTCCCACTGGGCAAAGGATACACATCCTATATTTAAAGCCAACCAAATACAGGCTCAGCGGCGACAGAACAGTTTATTTGAATTCCAGAGGTTTGTGGGAAATAGCTCCATATTAAAAACAGGTTGAGTCTCTCTAATCTGGGATCAAAAGTGCTCCCTATTTCAGATTTTGGAATACTTGTATTTACATAATGAGATGTCTTGGAGATGGAAGCTAAGTCAAGCACAAAATTCACTTATGTTTCATATATACACCTTATACACATTGCCTAAAGGCAATTTTATACACACTGCAGAGCATGAAACAAAATTTGTGTACATTGACCATCAGAAAGCAAGGTGACTATGTGGACAACTTTGGAGTATTTCAGGATTCCAGAATTCCTAAAAAGAAGTACCGTATATTCCGGAGAACAAGAGGACTTTTTAGGCCTGGAAAATCTTATTAAAAGTCGGGGGTGGAACCCGATGGAGTCCATTACATGATGCTGGCCTACTTGTGGCAGGGATCCATCCTGGTTCCATCCTGAAAGGGCCCTATGATGAAGCACTGAGAAAATGGGTGGCTAAGCCAGGGACAGCATGGGGGGCTGGGTATAAAAATGGGAGGCATAAAAAAGCAGGCATGACCAAGGCACACCACTGCCTGGGACTGCTGAGAGTCATAGTTCAGAGGTTCTTCCTTGGACCTGGGTGTGCCTGGTGGCCTTCGGAGGCTTCTGCCAGCCGCTCGGGTGGCCTTGCTTCCTTCCTGTCTCTCCTGGCTGCCTGCAAATAGCAATGTGGGAGGATTTGGAGGGCCTTGAAAGTAGAGCAGAGAGAGCGGTGGGGACAAATCCCTTAGTGGTGTGGCCTGAGGAGGAGGAGGAGGGACAAAGGAGGAGGGGAGGAGGATGAAGGAGAATGAAAGAGAGTGTGGGGAGGAGGAGGGTCAGGCCCGGTGGGCTGCCCACGCTGCTCTCCCCACTCTACTTTCAAAGTCCTTCTCCAACTCCAACGTTGCCATTTCCAGGCAATTGGCAGGGAGAGGAAGGAAGTGGGATGCCTGAGGAGGAGGAGGGGGGGGAGGAGGAGGACGAAGGAGGAGGGCAGAGAGAGGGTATGGAGAGGAGGAGTACCAGACCTGCTGGGCTGCCCCCGTTGCTCCCCGCTCTGCTTTCAAAGCCCTTCTCCAACTTCTGCAATGTTGCCATTTCCAGGCATCCAGGAGAGAGAGGAAGAAAGCAAGGGCACCCGATCAGCTGGGAGAACCCTCCGAAAACCACTGGCCTTGCCTAGCTTCCTTGCTTGCCTTGTTTCCTTCCTCTCTCCTGGCTGCCTGCAAATAACTATGTGGGAGATGTTGGAGAAGGGCCTTGAAAGGAGACTGGGGAGAGCGGTGGGGCAGCCCAACTGGGCATGGCACTCCTCCTCCCCCACCCTCCCTCCTCCTCCTCCTCTCCCTCCCCTCCCTCCTTCTCTCCTCCTTCTCCCTTCTCAGGCATCCACTGCCGCTGCTCTTCCCAGTCTCCTTTCAAGGCCCTTCTCCAACTCCTCCCGCATAGCTATTTGCAGGCAGCCAGGAGAGAGGAAGGAAGCAAGGCAAGCAAGACAAGCAAGGAAGCTAGGCCAGCCCGGTTGTTTTTGGAGGCTTCTGCCAGCTGATCAGGTGCCCCTGCTTCCTTCCTTTCTCTCCTGGCTGCCTAGAAATGGCAACATTGCAGAAGTTGGAGAAGGGCTTTGAAAGCGGAGAAAGCGAAGGGGGCAGCCCAGCAGGCCTGGCGCTCCTCCTCTCTTCACCCTCCCTCTGCCCTCCTCCTTCTCCCTCCTCCTCCTCAGGCCATGCTGCTAAGGGACTTGTCCCCAACACCACCACCACCCTCCCCGCTCTACTTTCAAGGCCCACCAAATCCTCTTAAGTCACCATTTGCAGGCAGCCAGGAGAGTGAGGAAGTAGTAAGGCCACCTGAATGGCTGGCAGAAGCCTCCGATGGCTCACCCAGGCCCAAGGAAGAGCCTCCTGACTAAGGCTCCCAGCAGCCTCGGGCAGCGGCATGCCTTGGACATGCCTGCTTAGGCATTCTGGGAGTTGTAGTTACCGAATCAATAGAATTGTGTTGGGAGAGGGGTCTTAGATGGTGAGTATATCCCTAACTCTATATTTTAACTTCAAAAGTTGGGGGTGGTCTTATACGCCTAGTCGTTTTGTACCCTGGAATATACGGTACTCAATCTGTGAGAAATGAATGTATTAAGGAATGCTAATACTAAAATATGTATATGTTTGTATGCATGGGCACCATTAAAAATGTATCTGCATGGTCCATTGGAGGAGCTTCTCACCTCCATATGCATATTCTGAACAACACATAGACATCCATCCGCATTAAGTTCCCCCATTCACTTCCATGAATAAGAAACATATCGATGCTTCTGCATAATTGAAGCAATAGAAAATATTCTCTGTGTAATTGTGGGGGCTTGTTTGAAATCAAAAGACATGGTCCATGAGAAGATGGTTGTTTCAGAAACAAACTTGTGATAATTACAAAATGGAACTGCTTAATATGTACCTACAGGATATGGATTGATTGATATATATAGCTCCATATATATGAGGGGTATTTTTTAAGTAAGGTCCGTTTAAACAGAAGTACACAACGAAAGTTTATTTCAAAAACTAAATTTATTTTCAGAAAGTACATACTTCACTCTATTTTTCAACATAGTTGCCAAGTTTGTTCAAACACTTATCATACCACTGAACCAATTTTAAAATACCCTCTTCATAAAAACTTGCCACCTGCTCCGATAACCAAGAGTTCACTGTAATCAAAGAAGGGCGACTGGAGTGGTCCTCATGATGGACGTTGTCACGGCCATCTTTGAATTGTTGTACCCACTTGCGCACTTTGCTTTCACTCATAACAGTATCACCATACACTTCACAAATCGGTCAATGAATTTCTGCAGCAGGCAGGTTCCTTGCTGACAAAAACCATATCACTGAGCGAACCTCACATGCGGCGGGTGAGTTGATAATCTTAAACATTTTTAAAGCACAGAACAGAACCATACAGGTTAGCTACAGAGCGGAAAGTGAGCACAGTTGTTCCTGAGGCATGCCGGTACACGACGCACGCGCTCGTTGCGGTATGCGTGCGAACTACTAGTGTCTACAACAAAACGGACCTTACTTAAAAAATACCCCTCATATATATAGCTCCCTATATATATATTATTTGTACATTGACGTGTTCTGTTCACGTATCTCTCAACTACTTCCAAAACAGGATCACTAAATAAATCATGCAACTGAGTCAGCTCTGAGATTTTGGGAGAAGTTTTGATCATGTACACAGAATAGTTGAAAATCAAAGCAGGAATGAATAACAACAGGAGAGAACCTAGATGGAAAAATGTAGCGCATTTTCCTGGATTTAAGCTTGCAATAAATAAACTTAATTTTTCCACGATTAGTACATTCAAATAACTTTAGAAAAAAGTAGATTTGTTGAATTCAGTAAATAATGTATGTTTTGACTGGCCCATAAAATCAATGGAGGCAATGAAGCAGGAACCTATGGTGTGAGGATATAATACAGTCACCAATTAAGCATTATTAAGTCCCATTGATTCCAATTTTATTATAAATAATAAGCTCATGACCAAATCAATTGAACTTTTTTTTTAAAAAATGCTTACTTTCAGTTGGATGAGTCCTCACATTTATGCTCCCCCATAAGAATTGTTTAATTAACTTCTCATCAAAAATCAATCATTGCTTGTTATTAATCAGAAATCTTTCTTTGGTCCCTATGCAATTTGCAGGTTGGATGATTGATGCTGACAGTCGACCTAAGTTCAAGGAGCTGGCTGCTGAATTTTCAAGAATGGCTCGAGATCCTCAGAGATATCTGGTCATTCAGGTGAGCCTATCCTTGGTATCTTCACTGCCATCATATACACATATATACATACTAAGGAGCCACAGATTCTTTCAAACCCTCCAATCATGTACTGGTATGACTTTTGATTCTCACATTCTCACTTTATCCAACACCTGTAAAATATATCAGTGTTTGTTGAACAATACTGGTATGAAGAAGCAGAAATACTGCTGTACTGGCAGGCTTATCCCTTGCACAGGGACAGCTCAACACATTACGCAAAGTAAGCATTTACAGTATAGTTGATTTTGACCAGGGGCACTCTTGAGGTGCTCTTGGGGGAAAATAGACCGTGACATATGTGAGTTGTATTTACTGGGATGTATAGTTCACCTACAATCAAAGAGCATTCTGAACTCCACCAATGATGGAATTGAACCAAATATGGCACACAGAACTCCCATGATGAACAGAAATTATATATATATCAGTGATTGGTTGGGGGGGGGGGGTGCCAAAATACTGTTTGCTTACAGTTGAAAATTACCTAGGGCCGCCTCTGCCCTTGCATATCAAAAATTAAAAACAATGTAATCATTAATTGGTCTGCTACAAAATAGAGATATTCAAATTAAACTTCTTACCCAAACTGCAATGCAATTTACTATCTCTTTCTGAACCTCAGTTCACTTATTCTTGACCAACCAATAGAGATCAAGCTGCTCAAGTTTGTAGCCCAGAACTTTGCAAATTAGTTGCTCTGGTTTCTTTTTCATAACATAATTGTAGCTCTTTGATAGCGTTTTTGTTATAGATCTATGCCATGGAGTTCTTAGAATCTGGAGATCCCAGACACATTTGGAATTCTCTGCCAGAGAATTCTAGTGCTGCACAATGCTACAACCTCGATCTGTCTAATCTGCCTTGGAAATTTAAGTGCTATCACTGAACTATAATTGTGTAGTGGGGAAGACAATCTTTTATCTTCATATTTATATTCTATTTTATGTTACTATATTGTATATCCAAGTGTGTGTTTTTGATCATGTTTGTTTAGGACTTGTCCTAAACCTTGAGTCCCTTTGGTGAGATGTAGGTGGGGTATAAAAATAATGCTATTATTATTATTATTATTGGAGTCCCCGGTGGCGCAGTGTAAAGCGCGCTGTTG